ACAATCCTATAAACCCTTTACTGGCCTTCTCTAGAATGAGGAAGTATCCCACTAAAGATTTTCTTAGCCTCTATCTCCTTGAGCGTCTTCCCCAGCCTGGCATAATCTCCCTTGATTCTTTCTAACGAGAACCTAGCCGTGTCATTCGTTCCTACATGAAGGATTATCAAGGGGTTCTTACCTGCTCCTTTTAGGATCCTTTTCAACCGCAGGTCCACATCGCGTATCTTTGCGCCTGGTAGACAGCACACCCTTCTGTTCTCTGGGTCCGCCCTGGTCACAGGCCTGTCTAATCTCCTCAGTAAAGAGTCCCCAATTACATACACCTGCCGTCGCCTGGCAACAGTGCGATCTAGTAATCTAATCTCCGATCCCTCTAGTCCTGACCTGTGTCTGTTCCTATTTTCCCTTATGCTCCCCCTTGTGCCTTCCTCTATCCTCTGGGGGCCCAGGTTTTGTGCTGTCTCCATCAACACCTCCCCTCTCTCTATTGGACTAGCCGCTCTTCTCTTCTTCCTCACCCTCCCACCTTCAGTCACCACCTGCTGCCCCTCCACCTCGTTATCCAAACACCCAAACCTGTTCCTGAGTTCTATTTCCCCCTCACTAGCCCTCCTTTTCCTTGGCCTGCTTCTCACGGTCACATGCTTCCACTTCCCTTGTTCTCCCGCTACCATTCCCCCCTCACTGTCCTCTACCTCTGCTTCCACCTGCATCCCTGAGGGTTCCCCTTCAGTCCCTCCTTGCCTGTCCTCCATCAGCTGCTCAAACCCCCGTCTAAACTCCACTAGGGTATCTACCTGCATCTCCAACCCCTTAATCTTTTCTTCCAGTAACGCTATAAGGCGACACTTCATACAAACATACCTCTGTTCCAGCTCCCCTGCTAGGACTATATACATACCACAGCTTCCACATGCAGCTATCTGCATTCTGTCTGCTGCTGCTTGGCTCATGGCTGCTGCAGTCTCCGCCCACAGCTCCTGGGGACACAGAGCACACAACACACCGCGCCCTCCTCCTTCCCCCTTTACCTCCCCCTGCAAACGCCCACTCAAACTTCCCTGTTAGCCGCCCTGTTTGCTGCCTCCTGTGCCGCTGCTCGCAGCCTACCTAACAACTGGAGTTCATAGGAGCACAACTCAATTCCCAAATGGGAAGAGCCTCTCCCCCCCGCTCAATCGTTTCAACACCATAAAACTCCTGGTTACAAAACTTCGCAACAGTCCACAGGTCATTGCACAAGACTGTCTGCAACTATTAGGCCACATGGCCTCGTGTACTTTCGTGGTCAAAAATACACGCCTATACATGAGGTGCTTCCAAGCTTGGTTGGCCATGGTTTACAGACCGAATGTACACGCTCTAAACAAGCCTCTATCCATATCCTTCAGAGTGAGACTCCCTCCGATGGTGGACAGTTCCCTCCAACCTCTGCTCAGGAGTCCTTTTTCTCCAGGACTCCCCATCATTCATAATGACTACCGATGCATTCCTCACGGGATGGGGAGTGCACATGTCCCACCACACAGTCCAGGGGCTATGGTCTTCCACCGAACCTCCCTACACATAAATGTCCTAGAACTGTGAGCCATACGCAATGCCTGCCGTCACTTCCTCCCATTTGTTCAGAACCAACATGTTCGGATAATGACAGACAACATTGCATGCATGTTCTATGTCATCAGGCAGGGAGGGGCTCAATTTCACTCGCTTGGCACATAAGCCATGAAGCTCTGGAATTGGTGCCTCGTGAACAACATCCTGATATCCGCCACCTATCTTCCCGGGGCCCTGAATACCATCGCGGACAAACTAAGCACACTTGACTACCTATTAGACCTTTAAGCAATCTGGCCTTCCTTTCAGCTCCATCAAAGTCCACTTAGCTGCTATTACAACTTTTCATGACAAGATCGACGATATCTCTGTTTTTGCTCATCCAATCACCAAGCGTTTTCTCAAAGGGCTCCAATCCCTATACCCAGACACTAAACCTCCTACCCCTCTGTGGGACCTGCTTAACTAAACAACCATTCGAGCCCCTAACCACTTGCTCCCTCTTACACCTCTCCATGAAAACAGCATTCTTAGTGGCAATCACCTCCGCCAGATGTGCAGGAGAAATAGCAGCTCTCATGGCAGACCCACCGTACACACTATTTTTTAAGGACAAGGTTATCCTCTGACTACACCCCAAATTTCTTCCAAAGGTGCGTTCGTCATCAATGAGCCAATACACCTACCAACCTTCTTTCTTAAACCACATGCAAACTCTTTTGAATCCACAATGCATACGTTAGATGTACGCAGGGCTTTGTCCTTCTATTTGGATAGAACCAAGCCCTTTAGAAACTCTTCTAGACTCTTTGTCTCCATTGTGGAGTACTCCAGAGGGACACCTATTTCTACCCAGAGACTTTCAAACTGAATTTCTGAGTATATCTGACTGTGCTATCAAATAAAGAAAGTTACGCCTCCTGCCGGCATCAGAACTCACTCCACTAGATCTGTGGCTACCTCTGTGGGTTTTCTACACAAAGTTCCTCTGGCTGACATCTATAAAGCAGCTACTTGGACTTCTGAAGACACGTTTGTTAAGCATTATGCCCTTACTCAAGGCCCTCTCTCTGATGCACGATTAGGCAGAGCTGTATTATCTACTTCATTCCTACCAAATCCGAAGTCCCTACTTCCTTGAGGTCCACTGCTTTTAAGTCACCTGGAGTGGAGCACCCACAGGAACCCCTCTCTCTCTAGAAGAAGAAGAAGTAGATGATGAGTGTCTCTGTGGGTGCTCCACTACCCATCCTCCTCCCCTCCACTTCAGAGTTGGGATAGCCCCGGTTGGAGAGAAGGAACTGACGAGACCGGTCGCGCACACTTACTATTAAGTACACTCCGAGCGGGGTGGCTGGCTCTGTGTGTGTGCGACCGGTACAAATACTGCTGTATAAATCTCCGAGCAAAGGTGCAGGGATGCACCAACACCTGGAGGGGAGCACCCACAAGCTGGAGTGGATCACCCACAGGGACACTCATCTCAAAGAACGTCAGTTACTGCACAGGATGAGTAACCGCCTCTTATTAATCAAGCATGATTCCTTCTATCTTTTCAAATAGTAAGTACAAAAAATTGATATAAAACACAGTAAGAATACATAGTGCATATAGATTAGAATACGGTACAAAGAAACAAGATGGCAGATTTGAAGGGGTGAGTTTAGCTTGGATGATGACTTGGAGGATAAACTGAAGTTATCTAACGTTTTCAGAATTAGTAGATAGAATAAGACTCTGTGTTTTGAAGGTCAATAGGGCAGTGTAAATTATAGTGGCCTTTTGTTCGATTTTAGCTTTTTTTTTTACCTTATGACCTACATGATGATGAGAAATTTAATACAAGTGATTTTATGGACTCAATCATGCACCATTGAAGTCAGTGGGAGCATGGCCACGTAATTGCATTGGAGCAGGAACAAACCTGACGGAAGTGAAACTGTGGCAAAACTATCTGATTCTTTTGCATTTTTCCCAGTTGTATAAACATGCAATAGGCAGGAGAACCATCATCTTGTTCCGTTTCTCCCTATTAGGTGACTTGCACTGGAGTCTGAGTGGTGTGGAACAGGGAAGAAATCAAAATTCTTGTAAAAATATAAGAAATTTAGGTCCAGATTCTGGCCCTGCTGAAATCAATTATTTACCATTGTGAAGAACTTAAAATTATATTCTTCTCTATAATTGAGGTTTTATAATTTATGAGCAACTCGCAAAAATGTATAAATAGAAAAAAATCTCAATACAAGAAATGTCACTTCACTGATATTGCTACTATAACAAAACGTACATTGGTGCACTATAGCTAATAAGCTAGTGTTCAAACACAGTTACTAACATTCATCATAATGCTGTCTCCCATTATTTCTGTGCAGGAATGTCTATCTGTCTCCTTTTCCCTATTCTGGCTAATATCACACATCAGCCTACTCAGGTTTTAGTCTCTTCAGTTCCATAAAATACTTTGAGAAATTTACTCCTTTCCATTATTTTAATTATTGCCAGGAGTGACTTCAATTACGTTCCGTTTCCCTGCCTCCTTCACTTCTCCCCTCCCCATCCCCCAATTTTATTGAAAGGAGCAATTCAGAAATAAATTAACCATCTCTTTGATAGCTACAAAATCACATTAACTCATGCTTTCTTTAAAGGATGTTTGTGCCCATATTTCTCCTACACAACATCCAGTCCAATACATCTCTTAAATAGAACTTTTTATTGTTGCATAAAAGAGAAGGGCAATGCCTTTTCTACTGTACAGTGTTGACTCAAAGGTCCTTAGGGATGTTTGCTTGAAAACTACATTTCTAAAAGTGGATGGGTGTGTGTGTTCCTGTTCTAAATCTGTATGATGTTTTTTTCCCTCTACAATCTTTACAGGTGCTAGGGCTGCTGGTATGGACACTGGTCGCTGGAACAGAGTATTTCCTGTATCCTGCCTTCGGCTGGGTGATGTTTGTAGCCGTATTTTACTGGGTTCTTACTGTCTTCTTTTTAATCATCTACATGACAGTGACCTACACTAGGATTCCCCAGGTGCCATGGACCACGGTGGTAAGTATGCACAATCTTTGTTGCTGCGTTTTTTTTTTTTTATTATTGTTGTTTGTTGTTTACTGTGTTCAGGAAAGAGGAAGACATTGATGTACTCCATAATTGTAGTTAAGGAACTATAATGTGCTTTCACACCTCCATTTTTTATTTATAATTAACATCTATCCATGTTCCTGACACTGGCTGTTGTCACATAATTAATCTAAAGCTTGGTCTACTACAAAACCCCTTTTCCCACACCCAGACTAGATAGGGTGTACTCTGGAGATCCTTCTGTCTTCATTTTAACTTCTTCCCATTCCTAGACTGCAACACCCACTTTCTCACGCAAAAGACCAGGGGAGCAAATTCACTCTGAAGTAATTGCTACTCTTATGTGGACTAACCAGCAGGAATATCAATATTGTGTAGTACAGTGTCAGGCTTTATTTGCCTAACCATCATGGTTCCTTTAATTCATTTCCTTTTGGTCATTGGTCTATCCAATGTCTTATTTTCCAAGAATGGAAATGTGTACCTGTTACACATGCTAATACAATGTGGCTCTTTGTTCCCCTGTAGTCGCTAGACCCCATATGGAGTTTTGACTCTGATGGCCTCTGAGCTAATGGACCTGGCTCTGTAGGTAAGCCATAAAGGACCCTTGTTGAGTCATCTATAGGGCTTGAACCTAGAACCTCTGGATCTGAGAGCCTGAGCCTGCACTTCTTGAGCTAAAGGACCAAGTGATGGACTCCGAGGCAGCAGCAGACTCATAAACACATATATGTCTAGCCACTAGAGGGGGACATAGTGCTGCAGTGTATTTGTGTGAGCTATTTTAAATTGCATGCCAGTCCAACCTTCTCTCATTAAATCCTTTCTATTAGTAGTTTATCCTGGTCACAGTAAATCTTGGGCAGATAGCAATTTAAAAAAAATCTGAATACTGCTGAAATTCCTGGGTAACTGAAATCCAGATCCTAGTTTGAGCAATCCCTAGTAGAAATGGCAGTATATTTGTTACAGTCAAGACTTCCATGACAAAGACACTTACTTTAAGGAAAACAAAAAAAACCTAGAAGCCTTTGTTGCCTCAACCAGCCTGCTACTCACCATGACTCTTTCATGAAGTATTATAATTTATTGTTGTATGTGTCTAATATTATTTTTATACTTAAAGATCATTAAACAGTTTAAAACCATTTTATTGTAATATAAAGGATATTTTACTTTCACATGACAAACAACTTGCTATTAATTAAAATATTGTGTGCCGTGACTATTAAAATGTTAAGAGTCAAAGTATTACTTTTTGCCATGACTTTCCGATTTGTTGCCATGAGAAATAGCTTGCTGTAGTCTACGGGTCTGTAGAACTAGGATTATATACAAATAGATTTTATATTTTCAAGTTTCATGAGCAGCACTTGCCTTTACAATTATAACACTGTTACAGTACTGCTGTAAAATAATCCAACGTTTTTGTATCTTGGTGTGTTTAGAGGTTTTATTTTTTAAATTACATTTGGCATGAATGTAGTCAAAGGTAAGACAGCTGCCATCAATTTGGATCGTTTTGGTCACTGCCTCCATTAGTTTTATCTATTAGCAACAGAATCAGGCAAGGTAGCAGCTTGCAGATCAGCAGAACTGATCTCAGATATGTCAAGTTGTCTACCACCTAGATGTCTCCACTTGTTTATAGAGCCAAGTGTTTCTTGCTGTGAGAAGTTTTCAACCTGCTTTACAGATAAGATTGTTTAGATGCAGATCAAAATGGCAGCCTACTTCCATGACCGAAGAACCTTAGAGGGAAGAAGGAGGGGCAGGGGACAAATGCAAATGCTTGGATTCCCCCTTGTTTTGCACGGTGGTACTAGAAGAGCTTTGTGATATGACCTATGAATTGATTAGACCTATGCCACTTGTGGTTGGTCAGGAGGAATACAGTCCTGGGTCTGCTTCCAGTATAAATTAACACCTCCCTTTGGGAGGGCAAGATGCCAGAATATATCTAATTAGGTAGGTTTTTGTTTTTCCCTATACTCCAGAAATTGTCTCCTGAGAGGATTGTTAGCCCAAAGACACATTTATTGTATGCAGTGTCCAAACTTTAATATTGATTCCTATTTCATAAATTAATTCCTTGTGGGATAAGTACATCACCTAACCATATAAGACGCAGTTACTTTACTGCAAATTAACCTAAAGACACCTGCTCCAAAATTGTCTGCCGTGTGTGTGTGTTCTTCACCAAGAATAATGAATGGAAGATTTTAAACTGTGGTGAATTTGGATTTAAGAAGCAGGTGGTAACTTTAACAGGAACCCGTTGTTTTGGATAATACATTGGCAATAGGGGTACAGTAAACTAAACTTGCGTTCAGCTCCATTCTTCCCCACAATGTTATTTCCCAAAGCAACACTTTACAAAAATGATGTTCTTCCTTCCTTTATACATGACAGGATACTGCAGGGATTTACAGTTTTCTAGGATAATTGGGTCTCTTTGGAGGAAAAACAAAAAACTAACGAACCAGCTTTGAAGACTTGGAAATAAAGGGCCACTTCACGAAATTCCACCTGAGCCTGATGATTCCTGGGATCCAGTCATTAAATTCGTACCTTGATACTGTATTAGTGCAAATTGAAAGCATCTGAATAAGACAAGCACTAAAACAAAGAAGATTAAATGTTTTACACATTTTAATTTTATCCTGATTAATTACATTCATTTAATCCTAAATTCTGGGCCCCAGGGCTCCACCTGAGTGGCCAGGCTGGGCTCTCTGCTTAAGTGTGTGGATAAGTGCTTCTTCCCCATCACCCCGTGGAATGGCAGCAGACATTCTGCAGCTGTGACTTGTACTGCAATTCTGAGGCTGCAGTAGCTTTTGTGAATTCTGCCAGTGTCAATGACTGGTGAATTCAGTAGCCTCTGCCCTCTCCCCAGCCCCTATGACAACATACAGGGAGCTGCAATGGAGTTGGGCTCCACAGTGTGCAGGGGCGCCCATGTAATATTGTGCTCACGCAAACACTCAGCCATTGGACTCACACCAGATGTATCTGGGGACATCTTTGACTGTGGTTGAGGGGACAGGATGTTCACAATAACATCTTAAAATGCGAACGTACGGCTTAAAAGTCAATGGGAGTTGGGAGCACTCGGGATTGGTTCTGAAGAGACTGCTTGGAACTCCCGCTGCTGTGAATTTACATAGAGTACATCATAAGAATTCCAATCCAATATATCATCAATTAATTAGAAGGACAATATCTAGATTGTAAAAGGGCATGTTCATTAGCCTTGTATAAGTAGTGTTTTCTTACAGGGCTTAACTTCCTGTAGTAGTGATCTTGAAATACTGAGTACTTAAATGATAACAAATTTTAAAAACACCCCCACTTTTTTTTCCCCCTCTCCTCTCGATCTGGAGTAACTTCCATTGCTTAGTCTCTTGCTCTGTGAATCAGAAGTTACTGTGGGCTCTGTGGGTAGAGCAAAGTAGCACACTTTGTTTTTAGGATGAGGAAGTGTCTAGGCTGCTACCTTTCTAAAACCTAGCTAACCAGTCTAGCAGTGTGAGGAGGAGTACAGCCCAAAAGGGATCTCCCTTCTGTCCGGGGGCAGCCCTAGACTACCTGTCAGCAACTGGCGCCCTAGGCGAACTATGCAATCGGCGCCCCCATGCCCCGGGGCAGATCTAGGCTGAGGTTTTCGGTAAACTGGAAAACATTTTGCCCCCCCCCCCTTTTTTTTTTCTTTTAATGTTTTTTAATCTCAGATGCTTAATTATTCGGTTTGTCCGTCTGTCCAACCAATGTTTCTGAGATCAGATAAAATAGAGACACGAATTTTGCAGAATAGATTTGTACACGACAGTTAGATGATATTTCAGTCCGATTTCAAATAAAAATGCATTAAAAATGTTAATTATAATTTTTATTATTACAAATCCAAAATAATCTATTACACTATCCTGCTTTAACTGCCATTATCACCACATCCAATATAGAAAGAAATAAGAAAGTTCTTCAATGAACTTTAACCTGTATTTACAAAACACTCTGAATAAAAAACACTCGGTTGCTCTTAAAACGTGACTTCTCTTGCTTTAAGTTTTGAAAATTCAGTCACTAGTTCTTTTAGATCCAGTTTTCCATCTATTTCATGCTCTATTGACATTGTGGCAAGTCCAACAAGTCTCTCTTGCACCATTGTTGAACGCAGATATGTTTTTATCAATTTTAACTTTGAGTCGCTACGTTCCCCACTAGCTACGGAAACTGGCAAAGTTAAAAGAATGCGTAACGCTATAAAAATGTTTGGAAAATTGTCTGAGTTTATTTTCACAAACAAACTTCAGTACTTCTTCAGGAGTGAAATGTTTCTTAACTTGTCTTGAAAAAGCCTGAAGCTCACTACACAAATCTGTAGCATCGACATCTTTTGAATTTTCATGAGTCAATGCCGACTCCAGTTTTATACAAAATTATCTTATCTGTTTTGTTGTTTTCTTTTGTAAACTGTGGAGATCATTTAGAAAGCCAAATACTGACTCTAGCTGCTGCATCTGTTGAAATCTTTCATCAACCGAGTGACTAGCACTATCAAGGACTGCGAAGTACAAAGGTTCAAAGTGAATTTCTTTTGGGTTCTGAATGGGTGTGTCTCATCCTTCATACGAAAACTGCTGTTTCTTTTGCCGAATACGAACTGGCTCTGGTTCCAATTCTGTCGGAAAGTCTATTTCTTTAGCATGATCGAGAGAATCTGCCAGTGTTCTTTTGAACCCTTCATCACTTCTGAATTCCTCCAGAATATTTTTAATTTGCTGCAGTTTTTGAATAGCAGAATGTATGTTCAAGTTCTTTTCCTGAAGCTGCTTACTGGTGAGGTTAATCTCGAAAAGGATATTATACCACAAAATGAGTGAAGTCACAAATTTGAACTTGGAAAGGCCATTTGCAAGAGCTTCTGCATCTGAACGTGCCATATTGCCAGATGATCCAGTAAAGGTAGTATCATCAGACATTTCAATTAGGGCATCATAAATGTTTCCAGGCTCATAGCAAAGAGGCTTCAAAGCATCAGTGCGACTCTCCCATCTTGTCTGAGTAAGTGGTTTTACAGCTAGAGAATTCACATGCTGAGTCAGAATCTTCCAACGGCTTGTTGTGCCTGAGAAAAAACACATAAACACGTTGCACCAGGTCAAAGAAACTTGCCTCCAAACAGCATTTAGTAGCATCATTGACAACCAAATTCAGAGAATGCGCTCTGCAAGGAACAAAAAAGGCCCTAGGATTGATTTCCATCATTCTCGTTTGCACACCATTGTCTTTACCCTTCATATTACTC